GATTTTGGAAATGTTTGGCTTGTGGTGGGTCATTCGATAGCACCTCATTGCACTTTTAAGTGTGGATGGGCGGGCTCCTGCGAGTACAAGATACTAATCCGTCAAAATGCATCCATGCGAGTAGTAGCGTTATAGCTGCGCTCTCCTACTCTGCTGGCTTACCAACACGTGCTCACAAGTCAGTTCTGTTAACATATGCTGCAAGCGCAAGTCCAGCCTTTTTTCCCTTCATCTTGGAGCATGGCAAACTGAAATTACTGTTTACCATAATAACGTGACTTCTGTATTTATACTGCAGTATTCTAAACGTCCTGGATTTCGTTAAACCCAACGCGTGACTCCAGCTCTAATATAATGGAAAACCCAGCCTAAACTTCAGCACTCGGCATCGCAACAGCCTTCACAGGCCCGTCGCCAGCCGCCACCGAGGCCGCCTTCCTTCTTCTCCTGGCCACCACAAATGCGACAACCCCCACAACGAAAACCACCACCACCGCACACAGTATTGCTATCACGGTAGTCCCCTGTAGCAAGCCCCCTCCAGTCCCGCTCGGATAAGCGCCACCGTCGACGGCCGATCCTCCTGCATTATTCGAGATCGGCGACGGAGAAGCTGTCGACGTCGACAGCCCTTGAGACGTGGACGCATTGATGGGAAAGCCAAACGTCGTCGCCCCCACAATCGTGACCGTCCAGGGCTTCCCGCTGACCGTGACGGTCTCCAGCGCAGTGAACGCCACCACGCCAGCCGTCGGCGCAGCACCGAGCGGCGGATCCAGCGCGCTCGGCGACGGCGAGGGTGACGCCACCTGCGGCACACTACTCGGCGTCTGCGGCGTCCCGCTCGGCGTCCCATCGTTCGGCGTAGCACTCGGCGGCCCCTGCGCCGGCGGCGGCGTCGAAGGCTGCGGCACAGTGACGGGGACGCTCAGCGCTTGGTACGCGCTCGCCCTCAGATCATAGCTCAACCAGTAATGATTATCGCTCCCACAGCTCTCCCCGTCCACGCACGTCAGGTTGCACCCCGTGGCGGTTTTGTCCGTCAACGATGGGACGCAGTAGCATGACAGGCGGTGGTACCCGATCGCGAACTCGTGGGTCGGTTCTCCGGAAAGGAGGGCGTAGGATGGTAGGGGGCAGGCGTTGACACAAGCTTGAACCGTGAGGGTCTGGGAGGTGAGGAGGGCGGTGGCGGGGGCAGTGGAGCCGTAACTGATGGAGGCGCAGAGGGAGGTAGGTTAGCCGGCGAGGATGACTGGGTTGTGTGGACAACTCACTCGTAGCAGCCCTTAATGTGCTGGAAGCCCTGGGAGGATGACGGCGCTGCAAACGCCACGAGAAGGCCGCCGACGACGGCGGCGAGAGCCGCCACGGATACTGTTGAGAGCATGATGGACTTGAGGAAGGCTTGTGAGAAGGTGTGACTGTTTTATCCTTTGAGCAGAAAGGAGTCTTCTTCCGACCGACCAAGATCACAAACAGACAATACTGTTCGGAAGTTGGGGGGGTGCCGCAAACAGCAGTTCCTTCGCAAAACAAGAGAGAAAGAAACCTAGCGAGTTTGCAGGGCAAATGCGATATATTACTTTGCAGATGCTGAGATATTAGTACAAGCTCATACAAAAGTTCGCTCAAAGAGATATATGTGAACAGGTGTAAAATGAAAGAAGGCAAAGAACGAAAGAAAAGGTGAGGTACGCAGGATTGTGCAAGAATACAGGAAAAGATAAGGGTAAAAAGGTGAACAGAATACACACAGAGAAAGAATAAAGGAGTCCTAATAACAACTCCCACCATCCACCTTAACTCTAACGCCTCCTGAGCTGAATCTGCGCCAACCCAGCCCTCAACTCTGCCTCCAGGCCGGCCAGGAAGCTCGTGATGGCCGCTTCCGCCGCGTTCTTGTTTTTCGCGGTGGCCGTGGCCGCAGGCGCCGCCGTCATCGCCGGGGCTGCAGGCGCGGCCGGCATGGCGGCGACGGGTGCAGCGGGCACAGCTGTGGTTTGGGCCTTCGTAGCGGCAGCGGCGGGAGCAGTCGCAGCAGGCGCCATGGCTGGCGCGGCGGCTGGCGCGGCGGCTGGCACGGCAGGCGCGGCGGCGGGCGCGGCGGTCATGCCCCCAGCCGCCATTCCACCGGCAGCGGCTCCAGCAGCAGTCATCCCACCAGCCGCCGCGGGTGCGGCAGGTGCGGCTCCAGGAGCCGTTCCTGCCGCGCCAGCAGCACCGGCCATGCCGCCCGCCGCAGCCGCAGCGGCGGCGGCCGGCATCAGCGTGATGGAAGGCACGACGCCCCATGGCGTGAACTTGGTTCCGACCGACAACACGGCGTTCAGCGTGACGGGCCCGACGTCCGTCGCCGGTGGCGTGAACATCATCACGTATGGCGTGTTGGCCCCGCCCACGTTCTTCAACGGCGCCGCCTGCGTGACCGTGGACATCGCGTTGTCGTTCATCACGCCGACGGCCTGACACGCGTTTGCCGTCTGCGCACGCAGGCCCGCGCCGGCCCAGGTGCCGACGTGCTGCGGGACGCCGTTTGGCGCGAGGGTGGAGTCCTGCGTTGTGCCAGGGGTCGCGTACGCGAGAATGCCCTGAAAGGCCTGGCCGCCCGCGATCATGACGGCCATCGGCGGGCCGCCTGGCGTGTAGGTCATGGACTGGACCATGAAGGTGTTGCCGAGGGAGGAGGCCGCGGTCTTGTGGCCGTTGGTGATGGCGGTAGGGATGATCTGGCACTTGGGCGCGCCGTTAGGTAGTGCGAAAGTCGCGGTCGCGAGAGTGAGGGCGAGGAGAGTGGTGGCGATCATGGCTGTAAGGAGGTTGGTGACAGCGACAAGGAAGGGTATAGAATGCTGGGCGAGCGACCTCGCGGCCTTATGAAGGGATGGCCGCCGCCTGCCTGCGGTCCATACGCCAAGGCCTACGCGCACAGATGGATGGCATAACTGTTAATTCAATTAGTGGCCAACTGAATGAAACTCAGCTCCTGCTGAAACGAGCAGGGCGGCGTCATCGCCCATATATCCTTCATATTCTTGCAGCCCAGCTTGCAGCACCATCATCATTCGGGTAGTTGGGTTATCCCGACGTCGGTCTTGGCGATGACGCTGCTGCTTTTGAGAACGGATATGAAGAAGAACTGAAGGCACAGGGTAAGACATGCCTTGTCCGGCTTTTGCGTACGTTGTTTATTCAAAAACAAATCAGCGGCGTGCAATTTGAAGGACTAGTAAAAACAAAAATGATAGCCAGTAGAAGCAATAATTGGCAGTGACGGACGAAGAAACATACGAAAAACTGCTGTTGGCGTTCAGCGCATCGCGCTCCATCGCCTCCTAGAGACAAACCCCTCATCCATCTCGATCACCTTCCTCCTCCTCTTCCCCGCCGCGGCCGCCGCAATCTTGGCCTCCACGTTCGCCGCGATGCCCTGGACCGCGCCCTGAACCGCCGCCGACAGCCCGGCCTTGAGCGCAGCCTCGACCTGCTGACCAACAGACGCGGCCGGATTCGCGGCGGCCGCTGCTCCGCCGGCTGCGTTGGCTGCCCCTCCTACGGCACCGGCGACAGCGGCTTGAAGAGCTCCTTTGAGCGCGGCCTCGATCTTCTGTCCAAGTGAGGGCTTCGTCGCGGTGGCGGCCGCGGCGGCGTCGGGAGCGGCTGGTGCTGCTGCAGGGGCGGGGGCGGCTGCCGGGGCCGCGATGGGTGCTGGTGTTGCTGCTGAAACCGCGACCGGAGCAGGTGGAGCGGCAGGATCGGCTGGTGCAGCTGCGCCAGCAGCTGCGGCGGCTGCGGCAGCAGGATCGATGGCGGGAACAGCTGTCGCAGCGGCCATGGCGGGGTCGATGGGTGCAGCGACTGGAGCCACAGGCAAGGGGGCGGACATTGCGGGGTCGATCGGTACCGCGGATGCCAGGACGGGAGGAGGGGGCACAGCCACGGTCGGTAGGGCAACGGCCATAGCCATTGGCATGCCAGGAGCTGCTGCGACCGTGACGGACGCCGGTTGGGCCGTGACGGGAAGGGCAGCGGGTATGCCGACGTGCTGCGGGACGCCGTTTGGCGCGAGGGTGGAGTCCTGCGTCGTGCCGGGTGTGGCGTATGCAAGGATGCCTTGGAAGGCTTGACCGCCGGCGATCATGACGGCCATGGGCGGGCCGCCGGGCGTGTATGTCATGGATTGGACCATGAAAGTGTTGCCGAGGGGGGAGGTGGCGGTCTTGTGGCCGTTGGTGATCGCTGTGGGGATGATTTGGCACTTCGGGGCGCCGTTGGGGAGGGAGAGAGCCGGAGACACGACTAGCAATAATGCTAGGGAAAGCGTACTGGCGAACATGGCGACGTAGGGACGGTGGGGAGCGGGAGGGGGTTGAACGAGTGCGTTAAATAAGATGATATTGTACACGCCACCCGCAACATTTAAGATAAATAAACTACACGCCCAGAAATCACCAGTAATCCGCAATTCCGAAAAAGGCGTGTTTAATGCTGACTTAGCGAGCTTGTCACTGAAGTAATGCAGAGTTTCCAACGCTAAATCGGCTTTCATTTCATTTGCGGCCATTCTTGGACTGAATCTGACGAAGCAGCCGCCCAGTATTAGGCGTCACAATCTATTGTAGGTGTGTGTAAGGGGCGTGTGAGACTACGGTCAAACGCCAAGAGCTCGCGTCTCCGAACGGACCTCCGGGCCACAAGTGGCGAAAGGACGCGCATCCACAGCCGTCGTCCATACCCATTCATCTCCATCAAGCCCTTGTAGCAGGGATAACAAGGGATCGGCTTACTCGCGAGGAACCCGGTGTCTGGTTTCCATTGATGGATGTACACGTAGTCAACAAAACGAAAGAGCTTCACTCCTTTCTAAAGGCTCTTCTTGTTTTTCGGGCAGAAGCACACACAGCTAACGATCTGCAAAGGATTCCTGAGTTTGGAGTTTCATTCACAATACTTTAAAGGTGCCAAAAGTCGGCGAAATACCTGTAGCATAGGAATTAGAGTGCATGGACTGGGACTTGAACCCAGGTGTGTTTCCACACGCGAACTTAAGTCGCGCGCCTTAACCAAACTCGGCCATCCATGCATGGTAGTTCAAGCCACCTTGTAGTTCGCATAGTTTGTTACATTGCGTATCACCACCACAAGCCACCGTAATATCGACGTAAGCCAGCCGCTGCAACATGTCACGTCTTCGGCGTTCCGACAAGGCCCAAAGCCCGGCGGCCAACAAGTCCCTTGGATCCTATTGGGAACTTGTCACGATCTCGCGGTCGGCCTCACATCTTACCTCGATGCCTTCGCGGTCCTTCGCATCCTCCATCTCCAAACCACAACAGCCAAGGCAACCCAGTGTGAGCTGAGTAACACGTCATGATGCATACTGACAACGTGCGAGAATGAGACGCGGTTCTTTGCAAGTGGCTTGATTTGAAACTATGGTTTCAGGCTCAATTTGCTTGTGCGACAAATCTCTGCTAAGCCAGAATTTCCTCTTGTCCACCCTACCTTCTCAGCTCAACCAACATGCAGCAGCAGCAACAGTTTGACCAGAACGGCCAGCCGATCTACGCCCAGCAGCCGATGCAGGGCCAGCCCCCCGTGCAGACAATGTACGTCCAGGGCGGCGGCGCTTGCCAGCACAACTTTGTCCCCACCGGTTCTTGGGTGAGTTTTCCTTGTACTTCGCAGCGTGATCGCAGCGTGATCAAGACTTTGGTCAAGATGGAGCAGGAGGATTTGGTGGGAAAGAGTGGGAGATGCGGAGGGAGAGAAGGGTCGAATATGCAAGTGGTCGTAGTCAAATGGATATGCGTGGGATTACGGACGAAGGAAATGAAGTAAAGATGACTGAGGTCCGAAGGGTCCTACGACGAGTGCCCGGGTTTAGCACGCATTTATCGAGACCTAATGAATTTATTTTATCTTTCCTCGCTTTTCTGTTCCTATCACCCGCGCAATCAGTCGATGAAAGACCTCGCCCTCTGCCTTTTCTGCTTCCCCTGGAACTTCTGCTGCTGCCCGCCCGGTCAGGACATCACCCAATGTACCAACTGCGGCATGAAGCTCGGCCAGTAACATGTACTCCGCGCAAGCACACATTTCTGCCCGCAACGGCCATGATAATCGCTCCTTTCGTTGACTTCGGGGCTTCCAGCTTTTGAACATTTTCGCACCGTTTCGCTTTTTTATCTTGTTTTAATTCGTTACGGATATTGTTACAGTTTAAGGCATTTTTGGTTAATAGAGTGATTTCTAAAGCGACTTACTACATGTTGTGAAGGTGTCACTAAGGCCCCCATACATAATTGAGAACCTTCGCCGCTCTTATATTTTTGCCACAGCGGTCAATTAAAATCTAGAAGTCACATCTGTGCATTACTACTTCTTTCAACTCATGCAAGCGCCGCCCCAGTATCCAACCTCAAAGGCTCAACTTAAACCCCCTCTCCTCTACAACCCTCTCACTCCACTCCCAAAGCTCCCTCCCAAGCTCCCCATCCATTCCCCTCCCACTCGGCCACGCCAACTGCGCAACCGGCACGAAATACTGCCCCCCGTAGTTTTCCCTTACGACCTCCTCGCTCGCCGCCAGCCACACCTGCGTCATCGCGCCACTGCGCTCATTCATCATCACGAGCCCCGCGATGCGCGACACGAGCCAAACGGGGATCATGCTGGCGCTCTTGTACAGCTCGGTCTCGACCACCCCGGGATGGCAGCAGTTCACGCGGATGCGGGATTCGGTGCCGTCGAGCAAGGCGTCGCAGCGGCGCTGCAGCTCCCGCGTCATGAGGACGTTCATGAGCTTCGTGCGGCCGTAGGTGCCGTAGGAGAAGTATCCGCGCGCCTTCGGGTCGGTGGCGGATTTCAGATCCAAGGGTGACGGGTTCGGGAACAGGTGGCCGGCGGAGGAGACGAACACGACCCTCGCTCCACCCTGCGCCTCCGCCGTCCTCTTCAGCAGAGGGAGGAGAAGCACGGTGAGGTAGAAGTGTCCCAGATGATTCGACTGCGTCTGGAGCTCGACGCCGTCGGCCGTCATAGTTCGCTTCGGTGTGGCCATGATACCCGCGTTGCACAGGAGGACGTCGAGACGGGACGGGCGGGAGGTGGTGAACTGGAGGGCGAAGTTGCGCACAGATGCGAGGGAGGTGAGGTCGAGCTCCATCACGGTTAGTTTGGCGGCGGGAACGCGGGTGATGATGGAGTCGCGGACGGCGGATGCTTTTGTGGTGTTCCGGCAGGCCATTATCACTTCGGCCCCTATAAGAGAAGCGGTTAGCAGGTGGTAGGAAGGGTGAAGGCCGCATGATCGTACCTTTCGACGCCAGCATCTCTGCCGACACCTTCCCAAGCCCGGCACTTGCTCCCGTTACAATGATGACTTGCCCTGCGAGGTCGGGCAAGCCCTCCACGTTAATCCTGCTGCCGAAGAGCTGCCCGAAGCCTAGTACGTCCATTGCGAGATCGTCACCTTTTCGCGTCAATTTTATTTAGCCGCATTTATCCTGCGCATAATGAAAATCTCTCTCATATTATAACTTAATCATTCGTAGTCTATCCTCTCATGGCTACCAGTAAGCATTAACGTGAAATCAGAACTCTAGAAGGCCTAAGACTAATGATATGGTAGTAAGTAAGTGAAGTGTAGAAGGGTAACAGACTTTTGCGTCAACGAGGGCCGGGTAACACTACGTCCAAAAGTCCACTGATTATAAAGGCAAAAAAACACAAAGCCATGTTCCTTTTTGAGAACAGTCTGTCTAACGACCGGTGAGCGCCAAACAGACCTACACCCTTTACTGCCCCTGCGCCTTCGAGAACTTGTTCTCCCCATCAATCTGCAGCAACATCTCCGTCGAACACACCCTCACTTTCTTCGCCAAGGTCGCCGCCGTCGCCAACAACGCCGCCTCCATGCTTTCGGCATTCCCCTTCGCCTTAACCTCATCCTTAACCTCCAACCTGCACCGGTAGTAGTTCACCACCTCCGTGTACAGCGACCCCGTCGGCCACACCTGCGTGCCCCGGTTCGAGATCATCACAAGCTCCAGCCCACTCGCCTTCGGGACCAAGCTCTTGATCTCCTCCGCCAGGACCGCCGGCAACACCTCCGTGTCGACGAAGATATCAATTCCGACCGACTTCTCCTTGGACTTATCGCGCGGCGTCAACAGCTGAGGGTTGTGAGCCGGCAGGGTGGGCGGGACGAACTTGTGGACGAAGAAGAAGTCCTGCTTGGCGCTCTCAGGGAGGTTGCGGATGATGGCGGATGCGAACTCGTTCGTGCCGAGCGGAGAGCGGCCGGAGATCTGCGCCAGGTCCCCGGTGCGCTCGCCGTTGCCGAGGGTGACCTCGAGGGCCTTCTGAATGGCATCCTCGCGGTCGCCCATGCCGAGTTGGCGGAGCATCATGAGACCGGACATGAGGAGGGCTGTGGGGTTGGCCTGTGGGGATAAGGTCAGCATCATGTGGACATAATGAATCATAGTACGTACTATGTTCTTCCCAGCGATATCCGGCGCGGTGCCATGCACGGCCTCGAAGATGTTGATCCTATCTCCCAAATTCGCGCTTGGCGCCATGCCCAACCCTCCCACCAGACCCGCGCACAGGTCAGAAACGATATCACCCTGCAGGTTGGGCAGGACAATGAAGTCGAACTTGCGTGGGTCCATGACGAGCTTCATGGAAAGATCGTCAACGATGGTATCGTCCGCCTTAATCTGCGGATAGTTCTTGGCCATCTCGTAGAAGGTCGAAAGGAAGAGGCCGTCGGTCAGCTTATGGATGTTAGCCTTGTGGCAGCAGGTAATGCGCTTGGCGTTCTTGCTGGTGGCCACCTGTCCATACCGGTCGCGTCAGCGTCTGCGTCCCTACGGAGGGAAAACAAAGGATACGAACCTCAAACGCCATCTTATGAATTTGGTTGCTCCCAGGCCTGGTGATCAGCCTCCTGGTCTGCGCGACATCGTGCGTCTGGTAGTGCTCAATCCCACCGTACGTGTCCTCGATGTTCTCGCGGAAGAGTGTGAGGTCGATGTGGATTCCCGCCCTGCTGAAAACCGTCTCGACACCGGGAAGGGTCTTGAACACCCTTTTGTTCGCGTACGTACTCCAGGTCTTACGAGCGGTGACGTTGATGGATTTCACACCCTGTTGCGTGAACGTCAGCCATGCCTCCACGAGACGCCATTATAACAAACTTCTCTCCTCTACCCCGGCTCTAAGATAACACTTACAGTTCCCTTCGGCGTCTCCATCGGCCCCTTGAACAAGACGCCAAGCTTCTCGACCGTGGCTTTGGCTTCGGGCGTCATGCCGTTGCCGTGTCCCTTCAGGTAAATGTCCTTGCCCATCTCTACGAAGTTGTACTGGAAGGGGATGCGGGCCGCGTCAAAGATCCGGAGGGTGGCATCCATGCTGTTCGGAGTTTGATCATGATGAGCAAGTGATCAAGGACGGCGGGGAGGGAGGAGCAAGCGCCGTCTTTGAACATAAGAAAGACGAGCGATAGTTTCCAGCCGCGGTCATCAAGCCTTGGCTGCATCCCATCATCCCAAGCGCATCCCATCGTCAGGGACATCCCGGCTTGATCACTTCTCCTGCCCAAGACACGGGTTCACGGCTAGCGACGGCCCTCCGACCCGTCGTTCAAGCTCCGACCGCAACCGGATCAAGCCTTCCCCGCGCGCTCTCCTGGCCGCGATCAATAGAATCCCGCTGGTGCGACTCACATCTCCGGACCGATGCCGTCGCCCTTCGCGACCGCGATCGCGAGCTTGCCTGCGTTGGCGGCCATTGTTTATGACGAGGATGGGCGAGTTGAAGACCAAAAATCGAAAATTTACTGCGCGATCGACCCGAGGCGGATCGGGAGGCAGGTTGGAGGGACGATCAGGCCAGGGGGGGAGTGGGTGCCGGTGAACGTGCGGATCAGGCGAGACGCGTTGGTAGGCGCTACGATGTCCCCCTTCCCTCGATCAGCGGTGAAGCTTTGCGATTTCACTTTCATGCTACTGGGCGGAGAGAGAGGACGACCCTCAAAGAAAAGTTCATTGAACATGGTGGTCAACACGGCGG